ATATTATGTAAAGGCTATAGGGCTTGAAAGTGATGACGTCAAAACGGCCAGGGAGTAGTAAGTTGACATCAGATTTCTATTTTTGGATCCACTAAGGTGTGACTTTGCTATTGCCTAAGTATGTGGGTGCATAGCAACCCACTCATGTCGCATGCAGGTGTGACTTTTATTTCGCCACCAGTTGTAACCCCGCCCCCAGTAGCCAAATCAGTCAGTTTCACTGGCTACATCACCATGCTGTGAGTAAGACCGCTTGAAATGTGCTTGGATCCATACACAAACTGGATCCAAGTGGATCCAGTTTTTGATTTTTTGAAATTGTTGCTATGCTGTGACGTAGCACTTTCAAGCCCTATTGTCATGCCGGATATGATTATGGTGCCTGCTGCTTCTCTGCAGCCCTCCGCGTGACCCAACTTCAGCGTCTGCAAGCCATGCAAAACCGGGCGATCCGATGCATTGATGGCAGCCCGCCATGTTCCGCGATGCAGCCCCTCCTGGCTGCCAACTCGATTTACCGCGTCACTGAACTTTTTAAACAAAAGCTCCTGATCTTCATCTGGCGGTGTCTAAATGACTCCACTAGCCTTGCTCTAGCCCAGCTTCTCAAACCAGCAGCATGCAGCGGCAGAAGTACGCGCCATCAGCATGCCAATGGTCTGCTCAGCGAGTCGCAGTCGGTGTGGCCAAACGAGATTCGCCACCACAGGAGCATTGCTGTGGAACAGTTTGCCTAGAGAGGTACGAACCGTATCTAGATTGCAAGATTTTAAGCTAGCCTGCCTTCCTTATGTATGCCTGGAATAGGTTGTGTTTCGTCAGGTTTTGACATGTTCCTTTTCTTCTCAGTATTCTCGCTCGCATAGTACTCCACTTCTATGATAATATTGCCTATGCTGTTGCTCATTAGGATTTTGGCAAATTCTATCCTTCGCTTTCATATAACTGGGCCAGGAACCCGTTTGAACTTGCGAAGTAAAATAAAATCAATCAATCGATCAGTCTATGTCAGTATGTGGTTAGTTTGTAGCTAGCGAAGTAACACCTCGTTGGTTCCTAGCTTAGGCTTGGCCGGCTAGGTCCTAGCACAGTAGCAGTAGGACGGATCTAGGAGTGATTACACTCTAGTCACGGATTACCTTGATCCTGCCCCCTTTCCCCAATGCTGAGCGCTGGTATCGGTCCCGGTGCCGGGTGACTGAGAACACTTATTAGTATTACATTTTTGTTGCGTTATCGTTGGACAACTACTAGTACATGTAATGTACAATGTTATGTACAAGTCATGTACTAGTATGTATTTCATTATGCTGCCCGGTATCGAGCTTGCGACGGCGTGCAACACTGATATACTAGTAGTGTACTGTACTCGTAGTAGTATTCAGGTTTTTACAGTACCGTTTCTATGGTTGTAGCCAATGAGCAACGATGTTTGTCTCCATTTGATGTGTCGGGAGTTGTCCGTCAAGAAACACGTTAGCTGTGTTTCCCTTGCGATTGAAGATGATTGACAATGCTAGTGCTGAGAAGCTGCAGTCTATTAACTTAATATTAGGGCAGGTACAAAATGTACTTGTTGAGGTCTGCTTCCCTTGTGTACGTTTTCGCCTTGAGAAACAGGACCAGCTGCAAGGTTGGTTGGCGTTTCAGGTCTCCCTGCAGACGTTCAAGACAGTAGTGAGTTAAAATAGTTTTGGAGAAGCGAGACAAATTTAGTCCTCGTCGGAGATGGGCAAGGACTTCGAAAAATGCCAATGGTTAGTGCACATGTGCGGCGCGATGATTAGTCCATCGGCCAAATCTCAGAAAGGGCCTCTTTCGGCGAAGGTGATGCACTGAAGCTCCAACTAAACGCCCTTTGGCACACTAGCTCATGAGACCCCATAGAATACGAATCCGATTGTTGGACGTTGCCAATCCAGTCCAGGATAGTCGAACTGGGTCGAATACCTTCTTCCGATTTTCGTAATTTCGTCCACCATTACATCTTTCTCATCGACTTTTTTTCGCTTGGAAAATGTTCTTGAGCCGCTGAGCAGAATCTACGCACGCTCGAACACTTGAAATGCCTGCATGTTGACGGTTCGCAAGATTCTAGCGAGCTTGGTGGAAATCTATTATTTATTTTGACATTTTTGGGGGAATCTGAATTAGAACGGTGGAAGCTCATTCGGAGAAGACGGCGTGTCGCCGCTGTAGGATTGTCGCTACTGTGTTTCAGACGTATTTGCTTGAACGTGCTATTGAGGATGGACAGAAGATGAAGTGACGGCTTTCTTGAACACGGACGTTGTGTCTACATTGTAGCTGAAACATCTCATCTGGCGTCTAGAACGCAATTATTATGAGTTGTGAGTGCCAGCTGAGCTGAACACAAGCTGGATACCATTCGTCAGCTGGGAATTTGCATCGAAGCTCTTGATAGCCACGATAAGCATAATTATACAGAGGTAACCTTGTTTGACTCAATACGCATGCAGGTGATACCACTAGTGGCACTACAATGTAAATGGTGCAAAATTGATGCAACAGCGAATATGTACTTCGCACAATCACGAACAATTGTAAGGCAAGTGTTCATGCCTGTCATAGAAGAATTTCAGCCCGGAAGTCTTGTTGTCATGGTCATAAATAATACAGGACTTGAGTTGGCTCTGGACATAAACACACTTGTGGTGAATACGGTCATTATTGCGAGAAAAATATTTAGCCACTGTATGTTAACACCTGATGCCGCACTACACGCAATATTTCATGTACATGTATGTGAGACTCAATTGCATCCACAAGGCCGTAGATGCATGTAAGCACACAATGCTGTACAGTATAAGTAGTAGTCGACATGTGGTGCCTTCCTGCTGCACATGCGGCAAGTTGGCAACGACACATGACCTATCTGCACCGCACAGCGTGAGCTAGGAATATTGCACACATAGTGCTATTCGTGTTCCGATATCGTTAAGCCGGTATACATGTACTAGTATCCTTATACATGTACCTGGTCACTCGATAGGCGATGCCGACTGTGCTCATCTTATCCATATTACCCGACAGGCTATAGCACATTGCGTCAGATCACTATGCAACAAAACAAGAGCTTTGCCGGGGCGAATATACACTGAAGCAAAGTAGGTTTCAAGTTTCAACGGTACAGCACTAGTCACGATGAGGGGAGTTACGAGGATGGTTAGGCCGTGACACATAGATGATGATTGTTAATGATTCATGCACGGTGAAAAATTACCACCAATGGCGATGATATTGCTTTCACAACAATGACATCAGTAGGAGCAGTGACACAACCTTACTGCTCCAAGTAGGATTTACAAGCGAGTGAAGGGAGAGCAGACTGGGTCTAAGCAAGGAAGTAATCGGCATCAGAGGTGAGCTTGCACATCAGAAAACAGATGATGATCACCAAACACAGAGAAGTTGGCTATGTGTATGTTTGTGTCACTGTGTGTGCATGTGTGTGTGTGTGTGTGTGCATGTGTGTTTGTGTGTATGCACGCACATCTGTGTGTGAGAGAGAGGCAGACAGACAGATAGCATATGGTGGGAGGGATCAAGGTCTGACCTCAGAGTTAAATGCTGACGGTGTACGTGTGGAATAGCAACAGTGCGAAATCGGGCAGGGTGGTTAATGGCCCACACTGGAGCCGAGTAGGAGCGCAAGTGGTTGAGGGCTAGCACAGGAGTAGCAGCAGCTCCAGCCTAGGAAGATCAGCTTCTGGATGAAAATCTCCCGGACACAGTAGGTACCAAGCTTCACTAGCAGATTGCCGGCAGGGGTGCACGGCGAGCACCCGTACATTCCTCAAGCCACCAGAGCCGCAGTACTTGGACACGATCCAGGTGCTTACCCGCCAACAATGCTGAGAAGGCACTGGAGCCATACAGGAACTTATGATCGAGCATGACCACAGACTTGAAATACAGGGTCCGGCGTTGAATACTGAGACAGCGACGTCTCCTCCACAGAACACCACTCAGCCCCACCATTGCGTTATTTTCGCTTTTTCATGATTTTTACAATTGTGTTAGAGCACACAGCACTCGATGCAACATTTACCAGTGACTAAATAACTCCGCGTCTCCGACCATAACTGCAGCGTTCCCGTGAGCCTGTTGGATTTCCGTCAGCCTGTTGAGATTATCTTCATCTCGTCACATGTGAGCCTGTGTGTTTCATCCGTATCGTGGCACAATTACACAGACACGATTTCCAACTCAGGCCGGTTCCGTTGCTCGAAGGGTTGGCGGTAAGAATTGCTACGCCGTCTGTGGCTGCATGGGAACTTGGCGAGTCGTCGTCTTTCTCCATAAATCCTGATCGTCACGCGAACAACAGCCACTATTGCCTAAAAACTACGACACAACAGTATCAAGCTCGCCCCAGCAGAGAAGGACACGAATGACGAGCGCTAAGACGGAGAAAGAGAGACAGGGTTAGCGAGAGCTGACTAGTGCAGGTACGCTGTCATCTCCTGAGGTGGTGGGCGAAGCAGCGAAGTGAAACGAAGGAAGATAGAACTTATTAGAAGGCATACGGAGGCACCAAAACCTATTGCCTGTCACATACTAAGTGCCATTTAGGGTTGACAGCTGTCAGCTGACAGCCTCAAAAATTTGAAAATCTGCTCAAAAAACTCTCGATCAGAACTCTGCGCACTCTCAAATGGAGCGCACAGTAAAAAACTCGGCGACGAAGAACGCTTCGTATCGACGCCCTGGACTGAATTCGGCACGTCCAACAAACGGAATAGTGTTCTCTGATATATTCTCTACGTGCTGGGTATGGTCGCGTTTAGTTGGAAGCTCAGTGCATCACCACTTTCGATTTTGAGACTTGGCCGATGGACTAGATGTACGACTGCTGTTCTTGACCGCTGGCCGGCCGCTCGTTGTCCGTTACCTGGCAACGACTAGCACGTGCCATGTCTGAAAGTCAGATCATGCGCGACATACCTGTCTCGTCTGTGTTATTCTATAATACTGTTACTAGTGTTAGTGTGTATCCTTGGTGCCTGGCTGCATATTGGCCTCCAGGCCGGCCGGGAAGTCGAATGGTCCGCGCGAAGACGAAACTCGTTTTGCTTCTACTAGTACTAGTAGTAGTACTACACTTCGTAGTTCTACAGCCGAGCGGTAACGTAATAATAATGCAGTGGACGAACATGATCGATGTTTCGGACGTAGATTCTACGTGCTTGCGGAGGTGCTACCCTACGTTGTCCTAGGTAAGAGCGACGGAGTTCACTAGGATAGGTGAAGTGTGAGATGTGCGCAAAGAACTAAAGTACTTGTACAATGTCGTGTTACTAAACACCCGCCATCTCGCTGGAATCTGCCTCAGCTGGATAGCCACTGACGAGGTTTTCGTGTAACTGTGTCTGGCAACAAATAATTATTATTAATTTTTTTGAAGATGGACTCAACACTGCAGTGGCAACCAGGATTCTAGGCTTAGACGAGTCAGAGCACGGTTGCGATACATGCATCACTTCGTCTTCTGACTCATTCATTTTAAAGCTGTGTCCATCATGAACTGGCGCGTGTACACCGATGGTTTGCGGTTCATGCGTGCCCAAACGCGTGTTCAGTACAGGCTTTCACAGCCAATTGGAGGGGTAGATTACCATGATTGATTGATTTTTGTTAAGTCCATAACCCCAATGGCCAGGAAAGTAAAGTTTCACCACTGTTGTAGTCTTCTGGGTGCAAAGTCGAATGGCCTTGGTCCGAGGAAGCTGAGACGCTCCCTTCTTCTCGATCGAACTCGCACACTGGGTGACTGCGCCCTACCACATTTGTAGATAGGGAGTTTGTGCAGAAAAAATACTTTTAAACTTCTTATAGAAGCACGGCTGAACGTGAAACTCCCAGAGCCTGTAGCATTCTGGATGAAAATCTTGGTTTGAGGAGGCTGCGATACAGTGTTTGGCCCTGAACGCGGTCGAATCATGGTCCCATACCTATGCGCTGTACACCCGTGCCAGTGCAAATAAGTACTGCTTGCACCTTCAGTTGCAAGTACTGTTACAGGATAAGTCTAGTCGCAAGACACCATGTTTGATGGCCCAGAGATTATCTCCTTTCAAGGACGGACCTGTACCGGGTAACCGAACATTCACGAACTGGGTGATGATGCGATTTTTTGATGTATGCCCTTTTCTGCTCTCACTGTCTATACATTTGTCTATGTATGCACAACAGTACAGTAGTCAAAAAGCAATGGTAAACCAGATGTAACTCCGAGTTTGGTCAGCGGCTCCTGCACCCACCCGACAACTAAATTTGACTTGTGACTCACTGGGGGTAAAGACCAGTCGTTAGGGAGATAGCGTGAGGAGGTCGGTAGCACACAATATAGATGTAACAAGCTTGCATTTCTCTTCCTCCTTCCCAGTTCAAATGCTGGAATACTATTCTGCTGTTGTTTCTGGGGTTTTATTGCAGCCTCTTCCTGGAAAAGGTGCGCTAACTCTCTGCTTCACCGCCTCCAAGATTTGGAGTAGAAAGCATGCAACAGACGCGGTTTGTACCACTGGTGTCTCTTATCTGCATTGCTACTGTAATGTTCATCTTCTGGACATCACGAGTCCTCTCGAAATGTTCGCAGCGCTCAACGCTCGTGATGGTCAGAGAGCCAGGCAAAGTAAGGGAACAGCGCATTGCCGCCGGGGAGACTGTGTCTGATTCACTGGAAGAATCGCAATGCTTCTCAGTTTGGGAGCTTCTTAACTCAGAGTATGAGCTGGTAAGGTGAAGTGATTATTGTTTTGTAATCGTTTTTCTTTATTAAAGGCTTTGTCTTTTTTTACTATGATTCGAGTTAAAAAAAAGGGTTAAGTTCGGGAGGGAACATTTGCGGATCCTAGTGGATTGCATTGGTGCCGAGGAGTATGTCACAAGCCGCTTTTAGGTGCTTACTATATGGCGCGCTGACAATGTATTGGTTCATTGGATCCATGCAGACTCACTGCTGCAAGCAGTTTTTCATTGGTCTGGCCATACCATAGCCTTTCGTCCTTCTTGTATGATATAGTGGGTACACATGACCTCCTCAGAAGTAAAACATGTGTTGATGACCAACACGTTAGTCCGGCGATAACCTGACCGGATCCGACGCGCCTGCCATGTGCTGCACTTGTTACATTTCAAAACTACGCTTGATGCAGTGATAGCAGTGTTAGGCCACATTTACACGACAACGATTGAAAAACGGTTTCATTCCGTGTTTGAAACGTTTTTGCTGTGTACACGAAAATGATAAGCTTTTTAGGTGTTTAAGTAATCGCTCGTACTTTTTCTTATTTCCCGCCACACCATTCTGGCATTTCCATGGCAGCGAAACGTTTTTGCCGTGTACACGAGAACGAAACGGAACGAAAACGATTAAAAAACACTTTGAAGGCCGTTTTTGCTTTGAAACGTTTTTGAAACGTTTTGCAGCATTGTCGTGTAAACGCTCTTATCAAAATCTGTGGAAGCGTGTTCTTTTGAAAACGTTTTTCAATGGTTGTGTAAACGAGGCCTTAGTACACTGAATACGGGTTTGTGACTGAGTCAATGTGCTATGCCCAGCCTCTCTTAACACAAACTGATCCGTGGCGTTGTTCACCGTAGAGATTTTATCTTGTGAACGATGACACCAATGTCATATTTTAACCATGTAGGGTAACAATGCACAGTTCTCGGAGCAGCTCCATATTTGTGCGCTGCTCCTGAGGCTGATAGATAGAAAAATCAACTTGTCTTTCTGCAGTCATAGCAAAATCAGTGACTTGTAATGAAATCGGAATTGTCATTCTCTCCTTCTCGTTGCTCCAGATGCACATTCCATCTTTTTCCTATGATGAGAGTATCTACATATTCAGTACAGCTATGTCAGTTAGGTGAGGATGCCTTAAATTTGATAGCTTGCATGCCGTCCTACTGGTAGGACCCAAGAAATCGCGCTGCAAACGTGCTTTTGGTTAAGAATTTTCTTGAAACGTTTGTTGATGTGAGGTCTTTATAAGGCAAAGTAATGGCGCAAAATGCAAGACTATGTCCAGAGCATTGCATATGTGCAGTTTTATCAATTGTCAAAATGGCCACACATGAGTCCTGTCGGAGCACTAGCAACTCTGTCCAAAGTGAATTTTGACCATGGCACATCAATCGTGGTGAGGTCCTAATGTTTTTCTCAGCCTACCATGGCCGTGGTATGCAAAATTCCATACTCCGTTGCCATGATTACAGTGGGCTATTGCCATGGAATACTGTAATATGCCTTGTACGATCACGTCTAAAATTTGTGGACTCCTTCCCTAGCTCCTTAGAAACAGTTTAGGGTTAAGTTTAGGTCAATGTTAGAACAGAGGCCGTGCAGCATGTCTGTGTATGATGGTCCTACCGGTAGGACCGAGGTCTATGCAAGCTATCATTAATCTTGAACCATTGGTGAATTTCTACATTTCTATACACATTCACAATACATGTACATGTTGTTACGTGTCCCATTACTACGGTTGTGCGATGTGAAGTCCGACCCAGAATGCAAAGCTGGTGGTGCCCTGAACCAGTTGTCATTACGTCACTGCATGTGCACCAGGCTTGTGTACATCGAGCAGCATTCACACCACCTCCAGGGTGTCGAGGGCCGTGCAAGTTGAGGGCGCCAAGTATACACTTTGGGTGGAATCAGTGACGAACCTGCAATACATGGATAATACCAAGAGTCCATAAACAAGAGTATGCAACTGTGATCTCTTTTCTATGGGCCAGATGCGCGGCGCGCTGCCTTCATTACATCATTCAGCTGCAGTCCGCGCACTGCGGAAAATCAAACACCGCACTTTCCCTCTGGTTTGAAATGAACTTTCGTACGGAACTGGAGTTCACGCGCCAGAATTCAGATATCGCGTAGGTACTGGAACGAATCGAGCAAAAACGGATGGGCTCGTACTAGAAATTGTGAGTTTGAATGCATGCTTTCAGAGCGTGATGAAGGCAAGTTACGTAATGAAGGCAGCGCGCCGCGCACTGACCCATAACCACAGTTGCATACTCTTGTTTATGCACTCTTGATAATACTTGTAGTCGTAGCACAGGGTTCTAGCTAGGAAAACCTGCGGGATGAGTGTGGGTGTTAGGCTGATGTCGAAACTGCGTTTGCCTCCCGTATGGTGATGTGATTTTTGATGGCAACCGAATATCATATGGCTAGGGTGTGTCGGGGACTATATCTGAGGCCCGTTCTGCATTACTTGTACAGTCAGACCTCGCTTATCCGGTCCTCTTTTATCCGGATCCCTCGCCATCCAGAAGAAAATTGTTGGTTACCGATTTACAGCATTTGCCATGCATACACACAGTATGTGTGTTCGATTATCCGGTTCCCTCGCCTATTCGGATATTTTTGTGGAAAACGGATGTGTGCGGTTTTAAGCGAGGTCTGACTGTATCAGGAATGAGTGTTGTCATGACTACCTAGGCTGCTTAGACGAGTTTCCTTACTGACAGTGTTTATGATACAGCTCGTGCATTGTGTGGTTTTTTCCAGGGAGCAGAGCGTGTACATTATGCTTCCAAATCCAGCAACAGAGGAGTGGCCAATGAAACATAATTTCAAAAGTGAGTGCATCCTTTCTAATAAAGTACGATACTGTATCTGACAGGATAGATGTAAGTGGCAGCGGAAGGATTTTTTCCAGCCATGCTTGATGTGTATGGTGACGTGACGTCATGTCACCATACACATCTGAGGGAAACATGGATGCAGACGGTGGGATTTTCGGTCTTTGACCACTTTGGTGTTGGATCTGATCCGCTACTCACCTCCACCGCTTTAGGAGCTGCATTTGCGCGTTGATCTTTGAGGGTGGTGGTGTTCCTACGGATGCGGGAAACTCGGTCCAACCAATTCTCTACGCAAACCTTTAGAAGAATAGACAGAAGTCCATGACAGAACTCATCATGGCTGTTATATAGTGAACACACGAGGTCGGGCCTCTTATAGCACACACGAGGTCGAACCTCTCGTTTACACTCAGCACACAACGATAACCAGTTTGTGGAATAGTGCTAATTAGAATGAATCAATACGCGGAGCATGCGCCAAAAAGAACAAGGAGCCAGCAGGGCAAGAGAGCAGAAGCCGAGAACAGGGCAAGAGAGCAGAAGAGAACAGGGCTAGAGAGCAGAAGAGAACAGGGCAAGAGATACGTCAGTAGACGTGTGCTTCATGTACTCACTATGTAATGAAATACTAACTATTGAAAGCATTATGTCAACCACATTCAAATGACAAAAATTTCACGGTTCGCGTGAGACTCGGCTGGAAGCCGGGCTTTCCGCATCCGTAGGAACGCCACCACCCTGAAGGATAACTGCTGATCTTGCTTGCATGCATTGGTCTAATACTGATGACTGTGGTGTCATGTATTTAGAGTCTAGTGCACGGTATTGCTTTGTGGTACAAGTATTACATTGTTCATGATATTCGTTACAACAGTGTATGCTCTGCGTAGATAAGTAGATTGGGTTGCAAGGATAGCATGTTAGAAGTAATTGATTGGAACATCTGGGCCGCTCAATTACGTTAAGAGCACACTCTCATCATTGTTAACAACATTGTTGATCATACGGGTCAGATCCTAGTGTTTACCTAGTCATGTAATTTCTCGTGCTGCTGTGTTCAGCTGGTTGGACTACTCTAATAGTAATACCTTAATTACTAGCCTTCGATAGCACGTGCGAGTGCGCGCTTTTGCTGCGCAACTGGTATACCCCACAGTGTATTTAGAATAGTCTTCAATAATAATCTAGTTCAGTGAGTTTCACTACTTCCTAGAACCAGTACAAGAAACACCAGGTCCTGAGATTGTGCGGTGGGCGTGCGTGTACGTGCCGTAGAAGAGTCTGATGGTCTTTCCCCTTCAGCTCTTGGTGCCGAAACCCGGGATAGGCAGAACGTACTGCTGTGGGTTTTCCTAGAGAGAGGTCCGGTGAGGAGTATGGCGGCGAAGATTGAAGGGTTCTTGCGCCCCTACAGAGGGAAGGGCGACAGCTGGGAGGTGTTTTGGGCCAAGTTCGCGTTCTTGGCCACAAACCAGAAGTGGGACACAGACGACAAGAAGATGGCGCAGCTTCCGCTCTACTTGGACGGCGATGCGTTTATGGTTTACAACGCCATGGATGACGCGGACCAAAAGAAACCGGACGAAGTAGAGAAAAGAATGAAAGGAGCGTTTTGCCTCACGAAGTCGCAGGCATACAAGCTGTTTGTTGCACACCGCTTGCAGCTGGATGAATCCCCAGATGGGTACATTGCCGACCTTAGGAGGCTAGAAGCGGTGGCAGGCCTTGGAAGAGGCGCGGATGCAGACAGCGTGCTCGTAGAGCAAATCCTGAACGGCTTACCTTCATCCATGGCGCAGCAAGTGCGCCTTGCTCTGGTTGGAAAAGGCGACGACGTATCGTTGTGCCTGCAGTTGGTTCGAGCATTGCAGCAAACTGGAACTGAGGATGATGTTGTTTCAGCTGCAAGTGGCGCGAGTGGCCCCGGGCCGGCAGGCTCTGGTACGCGGAATGTGCTTTGCTTCCGTTGCAATAAGCTTGGTCACGTGCGGCGAAACTGCCCGGAGGCGAAGTCTGGCTACGATCGCGGTGCTTGGAGGAGCTCAGCGGCGGGGGGGGGGGGGGTTCAAGTGGCGTGCGGCCTGGCCTCACTTGTTTCTTCTGCGACAAGCCTGGCCACTTGAAAGCAGACTGCGAAGAACGGAGGGCCTGGGAGGCCCAGAGGTCAAGCAAAGTCACCGGTCAGCCATCACCATCGGCAGCCTGCACGTCTTCCCCGCAGGAATGTTCCGTGGAACGAGGTGAGCCGGCGGAGGAGCGCTGCCTGTACATGGGGCATGGGAGCGAGAAGTCAGGCCAGCTGGTAAAAATCTTCGTTGGTGTAAGTGCAGCGTCTGGTGACAACGCCGGCAAGGAATCGTCCATTGTGAGCGCACGTGCACGCGGACAAGCGGTTGCAGACACGGGCTCGACGAGGACGTTGATCAGCCGTGCATTCGCGGACCGCAGCAGCCTCACGTACGACGGCCCAGACACTCTTGAGACCAACCTTGTGGCTCTGGACGGCAATCGAATCGAAGTTCTGGGGCATCAGTCCTTCTAGAGCGAAACGATGGGCCTGTCAACCTTCCCAGAGTCAAGGTACGAGCGCTTGTAGTTGAAAGCCTAAGCACTGTCCGTGCTGACGTGCTGATTGGAGCGGATGTCGCTTCGCGGTGCGGTGGGTTGCAACTGAAGTATAGTAGTGATGGACAGCTTTGCGGAGTTGTATTTGGAGCCGCAGCCAGCGACACTGTTGCAGCCACTGCCGATCGGCTGTCCCCGAAGGGGCAGGATGATGATGGTCGATCTGGCCATCCGTCGCGTCGGGTGAAAGTCAGCACCACTGACGAGGGCAAGGTTATGCTCAGTATTGCGGACGGTGTCGTGACCTGGAGCCCTGCTGAGAAGCAATGGGAGTTGACCTGGAAGTGGCTCGATGGTGAACCTCCTGCAATGCCGCTCGGCCCGGGTATAGGAGAGTACAGCAGGACGAACCTGACTCCGGAGCAAGAGCGCCTGTTTGTTAGTGAGGTGCAATCCTGGATAGACAACGGCTGGCTGATCAAGCACGACCCGAAGCTACATGGCGAGCCAGCATGTGTGCTGCCGCTCATCGGTGTTCCGCAAGAACACAAGACGACGCCGGTGAGGCCGTGCCTGGATTACCGTCACTTGAATAAAAAGCTCCACTCTGACCCTGGTTTTGACCCACCAGTCTGCGGTGACACGCTACGTCGATGGCGTCAGGCAGGAGAGGATTATGTTCTGCTCGACATTAGGAAGGCATACCTCCAGATCCGGGTTAGCCCGGCGCTGTACCGCTACCAAGTCGTGCTTTGGAAGGGAGAAGCTCACGTCATGACGAGAATGGGATTCGGGTTGGCGGTAGCGCCCAAGTTTATGGATGCCGTTGTGAAGTACGTCACCCAGCCGTATCCTGGAGTAGATAACTACTATGACGACCTGCTGGTCCCTAGTGCCCTGGTGCCGAAGGTGTCTGGTGCACTGAATGAGTTCGGCCTACCAACCAAGCCCGCAGAGCAACTGGCAGAGGCTCGGGTCCTTGGCCTCCAGCTGACCAAGTCGTCCAGTGGTGACACGTCCTGGTCGAGAAAGGAGCCAGCTGCCATGACCTTGGAGCGTCCGGCAACTAGGAGGAGAATCTTCCAATGGTGTGGACGACTGACAAGCCACTACCCGGTATGCTCATGGCTGCGACCTGCCTGCAGTTTCTTGAAGAGAGCAGCTTCGGCGGACGATGCGTCCTGGGATGATCCAGTCCCACCGGCTATCCAGGTCTGCTGCGAGGAGCTTGAGAAGCGGCTAGCCGAAGTCGACCCAGCAAAGGGAACGTGGAGCATCTCTGCTGGCGACAGCAACACATGGACGGTGTGGTGTGATGCGTCCGGCCTGGCCCTTGGTGCTGCCCTGGAGGTTGACGGCAAGGTGGTGGAGGATACCACGCAGCTACGACCACACCAGGACAAGAGGCACATCAATATTGCCGAATTGGAGGCGGCCATCCTGGGTCTCAATCTGGCTGCGAAGTGGAATGTGAAGCGGATTACGCTGAAGATTGATTCCAAGACCGTCTTCGGGTGGCTGAAGCAAGTGATCAACGATGTCCGACGAGTGAAGACCACTGGCTTGCATGACCTGTTGGTGCAGAGGCGCCTACACATTGTCAGCGATATGATTGACACGATTGGAGCCGCAGTGGATGTTGTATGGGTGTCGTCTGACTCCAACATTGCAGATGCCCTGACCCGAGTTCCAAGCGTCTGGCTTACTCGATCCGTGGGTAGCATTCCCGACGTCACCGCCGGCGCTGTGTGCGAAACGACAGTTGTTGGCCCAATTTCGTTTGACGCCGTGGCGGCAGCCCAGCTGGAAGACGAAGTGGTGCAGCGTGTCGCCAGCCAGGTGGCTACCGATCGGCGGTTCGCGATGCTGGTTACAGGAGCGTGGCAAGTCAGCTCGTCGTCGAGGATGGCGTCCTGCTCCGAAGCGTTAAGCTGCCTGTTGAGGGTGAAATCCTCGTTCCTGTCATCGCTAAATCCGCGGAAGAGTCTGTTATTAGCGCTGCCCACACCAACTCCGGCCATGCCTCATGGCAGAATATGTACGAGATGTTGCGTGAACGCTGCTACCTACCACGCATGGCCGAGAAATGCCAGCAACATGTCCGCAGCTGCCAGCGTTGCAAGGCTGCGAACGCCGCAGGAGGACAAGCGGCGCCAGCGACACGACCAGATATGCCCGGGAGACCGTGGGGCTGTGTTCAGATCGACACCTTGGAGCTTGGGGCGAGCAAGAGCGGGGAAATCCACTGCGTCTTGGTCTTCGTTGATGCCCTGACGAAGTACGCCGAAGTTGTCCCGTTGCGTCGGCACGATGGTGCGAGCGTGGCCGATGCCATTGTCGAGTTGTGCTGTAGATGGGGAACGCCAGATGTGATCCGGATGGACAATGGCCGGGAGTTCCGCAACTACATTGTCAAGGCCCTTCTGCTTGTGTTTGGTGTTGAGGTCAAGACAGGAGCTGTCAGGCACCCACAGACGCAAGGCATGGCTGAGCGTTTTAATCGCACGCTGCTCGGCCTCATAAGGAAGGTCCTGGAAGAATCAACGGATTGGCTCGCCGAGCTCCCGGTGCTGATACATTACTACAACAGCCGCATCCACAGCGCCATCGGCATTTCACCAATGAAAGCAATGATCGGGTGGCAGCCTCGAGCATTGGTGAGCGCCCGCATCAACCTATCCGATCCCAGAGAGTGGCAGGACGAGCATGCAGCGAGGTGTGCGAGAGTTCGCGACCTGCTTGATGCGGAGATGTCCGAGAAAGACCACTGTGAATCCGAGCATGAGTGCCCGTTCGCGCCTGATGATAGCGTCCTCCTCCAGCAGCCAAAGAGGCGCCAGAAGTGTACTCCTCCATACCAATGTGGCTGGCGTATCAAGAAGGTCTTGTCAGGATCGACAGTAGTCATCTGGCGGAGGTTCAAGGGTGTTTTGCAGGAGAAGGTCATCAACATCGACCTGCTGAAGCGTGACGTGCCAGCTGCACCTTCCTCGGACCCAGCAGATGAGCCTCGCCATGATAGAGAGGAGGAATCAGCTGGAGAAGAGAGTGATGACAGCGGGCCATACGTAGTGTTCTCGCCGAGTAGCGATACTCCAGACGAGCGAGTGTTGCGAGACAGGTCTGCCATTCGACCGCCTGCCCGCTTTCGCACGCAGTAATTGCATGGTCGGTAGTGAGTTTCTACATGCCACCAGGCGGAGGTGATGAAGGATAACTGCTGATCTTGCTTGCATGCATTGGTCTAATACTGATGACTGTGGTGTCATGTATTTAGAGTCTAGTGCACGGTATTGCTTTGTGGTACAAGTATTTACATTGTTCATGATATTCGTTACAACAGTGTATGCTCTGCGTAGATAAGTAGATTGGGTTGCAAGGATAGCATGTTAGAAGTAATTGATTGGAACATCTGGGCCGCTCAATTACGTTAAGAGCACACTCTCATCATTGTTAACAACATTGTTGATCATACGGGTCAGATCCTAGTGTTTACCTAGTCATGTAATTTCTCGTGCTGCTGTGTTCAGCTGGTTGGACTACTCTAATAGTAATACCTTAATTACTAGCCTTCGATAGCACGTGCGAGTGCGCGCTTTTGCTGCGCAACTGGTATACCCCACAGTGTATTTAGAATAGTCTTCAATAATAATCTAGTTCAGTGAGTTTCACTACTTCCTAGAACCAGTACAAGAAACACCAGGTCCTGAGATTGTGCGGTGGGCGTGCGTGTACGTGCCGTAGAAGAGTCTGATGGTTTTTCCCCTTCAACCCTTCAAGGATCAAGGCGCAGATGCAGCTCCTAAAGCGGTGGGAGGTGAGTAGATCAGCTCACCAGCAAGTGGTCAAAGACCGAAAATCCCATTCACTGCATCCATGTTTTCCTCGTGCCAGGCCCTGAGTTCCCAATTAACTGTGGGTCGCAGCACGGCTGGAAAAAATCCTTCCGCTTCCAAGCAGGACTTGAACCTGGTACCCTCTGTTTCTCAATCATGATCTTAGACCATCACACTATGCCTGCCTTCAAATGACAAGTGTTCAAATATTTGTCGCGTCCCCGGCTCAGAGTGACCGGACCCCGAAATCACTACGAGCGGCGACTGAATATAGACGTGTGGCCTCACGACAAGCCCAACACAACCCAGGGGCCAACCAATATAGCTGGCTTGGTCCAAGTTCAACCCCACACGATCAACAGACAAAGACTGTTAGTTTTACGTTGTGAGTAGTATCAAATCCGAGCTCAAAGTAAACGAAGACAGAGAGCTGAGACCGAGTCTCGACTGCTAGACTAGACTAGACTAAGCTAGACTAGACTAAAAACTGAAGTAAAAGATAGAATGAGAGCTTCTTTTATAGGGTGCTTCAGAGATATATGGCGTGATCATTGCGAGGTAATTCCAGGAAATAGCAGAACAAGTCAAACCGGAATGTGCGCAGCCAGTCAGCAGAAATGCAGAATATACGTACGGTGATCATTCGAGAAGAAGAGAAAGAAAGACATCGAGAGAAGAAAGACCAAATTGGGATTTGGGGAGCCCGCTCACCCACGTCAGAGTACAATGTGAGTATATGAGGGTCACGTTGGGGAGCCCGCTCACCCAACGTGCCATAGTTCAGCGGCTTCTTATGGTAAGTTCTGCTGCATTCTTGGTCTTGCTTGCGTGATACTCTGACCTCTTGCGCGGTGACGGTTTTGGTTCTTGCACACGTCTCCTGTCTTGCACTTAGCTCTTGTTATACGTATCTAATATTGACTGAGTACGAGGTCAATATAGGAAATAAAAGCCGAGTAAAAGACCGAGGCGAAGCCGAGGTCTTTTACGAGGTTTTTATTTCCTATACTGACCAAGTACGAAGTCAATATTAGATTTATCACGACAAACAGTCCGTATTTCAAATTCCAGAACGATAACCTCATGAATCCCGGTTTTATGATTGCACAACCGTTGCACCACCACCTACTCTTGCAGTGACAATGCTGCACTAGGCACCGTTCAACTGCGCAACCCCTAAGCAGTCAAATATAAGCAGTCAATATAGCCCTAAGGAGTGAAATATGCAGGAATATTTGACTGCTTAGGTATGGCAAAAATCTATGGGAGTCAATTCTAAGGGAGTGATAAAATGTCATATTAGTCTTGGCTCTTTGCACGAAGCGCCGAGGCATCGTGGAAACCTGTAGAACGTCGTAGTGACGTGGTTTTGCACAAAGCCTGGAGTCGCATTTCCAGGAAGTGAAGCACTTCCAGGAAACGTACAACGCGAGAACCTACCTGACCAGGTTCCGGCCTTGGATCACATGATGTGTCATGCCAAGAAGGCATGTCACCTACGTGGAAAAGCGCGTGTCGCTCAACCTACATGCTAAGCACGTGGGACAAGACACTGGCCAAACCACGTTGTACTAAAAAGGGCGTGACAGCTCAGCACAGAGCTGCTCACTACGTAGATCCTGCTGTCACAGGACTATCAGGCAGCAGTTGTCTTATCCTGGGACGTGACATATTCAAAACTCTCAGTGAGTGATAACGTCTCAAGAAATGATACAGAAGTGCGGCAATGAAACTACCTCAATGAATATCTGATACTCTGTTTACTGTGATATACAACAATGGCTGCTTCCTTTGCCTTTCTGAATCCAGGTCAATTTTCATGCAGCTTTGGGCCTGTGTCTCAAGCAGGCAACTACACTCCAGCTCAAATAGTGGATGAAGTTGATGGGTAAGTAGTAGTATGTGAGGTGTCTGCAACAGCAAAAGTTCCATCCCTGAATTCCGGCAATACACAATGTAGTTCAAAGCCCCCCTTTAGAAAGGTTCACATACTCATACAGACATGGTAAACTGTGCAATGCACATGCACTCCACCTAGACCAGCAAACTTGTACTAGTGTTGAGTATGAATTAGACCCAATATTCTTCAGACACAATTCACAACGGGACAGGTAGGTGGAACGTCATTTATTAGGGTAGACGAAGAGACGGAGACAAAGACGAACTACTACGACTACATTATGATTATATGATTTTTTGCGCACGCGCAAAAATATGTTAACACAGAAGGCGCATGCTCTGTTCCCAGCAAACTCTCACGCGCTCATTGTTCTCCGAAGTCCACTGTTCCTGATTTCAGTTCTTGCTTTGTCCGCATTGGCAGTGGATTTCTTTCTCAACCCACCCACCCACTCCACTATTGTCATCATCATGTTTCCTGTTCTAGTTCTCTCCTGTCGGTATCCATTATCATACCGGCCTACAATAACTACACCGATGCCGACTACCGGCGAAACTCTGTAAATACAATGAGGGGAGTCAACCTTGCTTACCAGGCTCCTCATACGGCTCATTCAGCCTCTCACACTCAGACGGCTCACTCAGCCTCGGCTCACTCAGCCTCGGCTCACTCAGCACTCAGGGCCCTGCCCAGCTGCCATACACACACATTCACACAGCTCTAAGCTGTCACTCACTCGGAGCCTGGCAAAGCAATTGACAAACCCTCCTATTCCCTAAACTGGTTGCTCGTTGTATGAGTGCGGCATGCAGATGCTTGTGTTAATGACGAGAGCGAGATTATTTGAAGAGAGAGAGAGCTCGACTGAGACACAACGCAATATAAAGGGCCTGGGTAGCTATGGCAAACATGGGCGCGCAAGTAGCTACCCAGGCCAGCGGAACGAAAGGTGAGTATGACGTAGTACGGGTGCATGCAGGCCGGCCAGCTTAGGAAAGGTTGTAGGTAAGATTGTATGGGAGGAGGTACCTAACACTAGTGTTTTTCTTTGACACCCACTGACACCTCCCCGGTAGTCCAGTTTGGTTAGCAGCAGAGAGGTTTCTGGCCTTCAAAGTTGAGCGGTAGAAATGGGTATGCAAATGTTACTTCAGTAGCTTGCAAACACACAGATCGTGCATAGTAAAAGGGAGTATAATGGACTTGTACATGTGTAACAGGCACGCTTGATGCCAACTTGAGTGGCACAAAGTAGGGAAGATGTCTATAGTTGTCGAGAGATGGGGAGATTCTTTTAAAAGGTAACATCCCAAAACAAACTTAAACCAACATCCCAAAAGTCGGCGGATTTCGGGAGATTTGTCACCTACTGGGGAAATATTGAAAACATGCCTACACTTGGAAAGAGTTGTGGCAAATAAACATCCTATTTTCTTTGTATTTGTTTGTGCTTGCAGGCATTACTATGTGCTGATTTGTAGGATTCCGCAGCCTCTCTTGGAATGCGTTATCCAGCGAAGCGGTAAGCATGCTCTTCTGGCGTGACTTTCTCTGTTGCCATGTTGTCCAAAATGGTCATCCTTTTACAACTTGATACACCCCCACCCTGAAGTAAAATGTGTGTGGTGTTATCTAGACATCACAGTAGTACTTGTGTACGTGTCGAGAGCACAACAAACAACTAACTGATCACGGTCTCGTTGTGAAGCAAAGAACCCGAACATCAGTAAGGAAAAGCGCACATTATAATCTGCGTCAAACCAAAGGTGTTAGCTTTCCCACTTAGGCCGCGGTCACACATGAAGCTTGCACCGCTTTTGCGGAGGCGGAAAGCGGAACTACCGCAGCCGCTTTGGCGGACCACACGATGCAGCGGTCACACATACATGTAGACTACTGTGTTCCTCAACGCTCCGCTTTGGCGGAGAGAATGCAAATGCAGCACGTCCTATGAAATTTTCGATGTTCTTGTCCGAGTTGAAGCGATCTTCGCTTGTACAAGTAGAGCCATCGTGGATCGCTGACAGGCTGCTGAATGTCTCCTGTCAAGTACACTCGTGGATTTGGGCCCATTCACTGCGGCCCAGTACAGGTGTATGATTTTTTGCGCACGCGCAAAAATATGTTAACACAGAAGGCGCATGCTCTGTTCCCAACAAACTCTCACACGCTCATTTTTCTCCGAAGTCCACTGTTCCTGACTTCAGTTCTTGCTTTGTCCGCATTGGCAGTGGATTTCTTTCTCAACCTCAATCTCAAGGTTTACCACAGCTCACGGAGATGCCCCGTGCACGTAAGCAGTCGGCTCCCGGGCCCAGGCGTTCCAGTCGCAGGCGCGCCTCGTCGTCCCCGTATGCCGACACTCCAAATCGAGCCCCTGCGGACCATGCGGCCGATCGTTCCGGCAATGCCCGTGCGGATCGTTCCGGCAATGCTCGTGCGGAGCAGGACGATATCCCGTCCGCCGTTCCCCAGCCGGCCAGCTTACTCACAACTGGCCTAGATCCACGTTCCGTTACGGCGGCCGTGTCGACGGCCCTGCACCCCCTGCTGGCTCGAGTCGAGCGCCTTGAGGAGCGAATTTCAGCTCGCCAGGATCCGGACGGCCATGCTCAGGCGGCGGTCCCCTCAGTGGCAGATGTGGTCCAAACCGCGTCCAACACCGTCACCCATCACCCGCCGCAGGTCGACTCCGGCCCCATGGACATTTCCCTCATGCAACCCGCGCTGCCTCCGATCGCAGCGCCCATGGCGAACACTCGTGAGTCCAGCTCTATTGTTCCCACGGTCCCGCGTAAGTTGCTTGACAAAATCACACGCGGCGAATATATTGAGCTGGAGGATCTCCTCCCGGAGAATGTGGGCGCAAGGTCCGAGCCCTTGGAGCTCAGCACCGCCAACGGAGAGGGCCGGCGTGTGTCCCTCAATTTATGTGTGACTAAGAAGCGCTCCATTGTCGACTTCACTGCCTGGCTGGAAGCCTACACAATCTACATGGCCTGCGCACTGAAACATATGCCATTCCGAGCACTGGAGCTGGTGACGTACCAGCACATTATCTGTACTGCCAACCAGCAGTTTGCGACCCCAGCTGTACTGGGGTATGACCGTGCCTTCCGTGCAGCGGTGGCAACAACCTCGGCTCGTTGGGACGCAATCGACCAAAGCCTCTGGAGCCTGCACCTGATCCGGGCACCCCGACCATCATGTCCGCGCTGCACAACGCACCACAGCCGTGACCGTTGCCCACAGTATTTGGCAGGGCCACATGCTCCAGCCGGCACCAACACCAGCCGTCCTACGCAGCCATTTCTGGCCGGGGCTGGCAGCACCCGCCAGATCTGCCTCAACTTCAACCGTGGCCGCCCATGCCAACACCAGCCCTGTGAACGCTTGCACGTCTGCTCAACCTGCGGCGACCGAGGTCATCCCGCCGCTCGCTGCACCAACGACGGTCGCCGGGGACCCCGCCAGACGGACAAGCCCGTCGCAGCGAAGTAGTCTCCCCACGCCTCTGTACATAGCCCGCCTAATGACTCTTCTGCCTCGTATTTCTAATCGTGTCCTCTCTGACTTGCAGTCCTACAGTCCATTTCAAAACTATAGACGCGTACCTAGGCAAAAACCGTTATTCCAGCATCTATACCACATAAAATCTGTGATCACTTTGTGCATAAATTTTTCCAAATTGGGCGTCTGTTATCCAATCCTTTAGAAACTATATGATAGTAATTGTGGAGCGATCCTGAGCAATATTCCGAAAACTATTCTCAAAAAGGTCCAGCCAAATTTGAAATATTTCAAAAACCCTACGCGTCTATAGTTTTGAAATGCACTGTAGTGTTGCATACTCTGGTGGACGTATTGCTTGGAGAGAGAAGGAGAGAGTTGGAGATCGTCCGCGATCGGGGCCAATGAGTTGGGAGACGGATTCCCTCACCAATTATCCACTCATAACGATGCAGTATTGTTTGCGAGATCTCCAGAACGTACAGTTCATTGGCAAAGAAGAACAATATGAAAACTTAATACCAAACGGCAACCAAACAACACCAGAACTCAGTGCAGAAGTAGCACACCAATCTCCAAAGCCATCACCATGCAGGTTCCGCCAAAGCGGATCCGCGAAAGCGGAGGCTCCGCTCGCAATTTTTTGGCGTAGCGAAATCCAAACTTTCCGCCAAAGCGTAACTTACGCCTCCGTCGTTGCCTCGGCAACGGCGGAAGCGTAAGTTACGCTTTGGCGGAACCGCCAAAAAAGTGCATGTGTGACCGGGGCCTTACCGTAAAATTTCGTAAATAAGCCCACCCTAAATAACGCCCATGTCCGATAATAAGCCCAGTTTAGGCGGTGTACACTTCAAGTCCGTTTTAGCGCCCATGCCCGAAATAAGCCCAGGGCGTAAAGTGGACTCAAAATGACCAACGCGTTCGCGTGCGTTCGCGTACAAACTGTAGAACAGTTGTAGATCGAGTGCGTGCCATCCAACTGCACGCAGCCTTGTACTTACCATAGCAAGTGGTTTACCTATCAAATCTGTAATTTATCGCTACATTCTTGGTTACGACCAA